CTATACGGGTGATGTCCGACCTTGTGCAAACCATCGCGTACATGAGACTCCCAATGGCCGAAAAATATGGCACTCTGCTCATATGCTCTCTTTCTGCATCTGTCTTAAGCGATTGCTCCTCAGATAGCTTGAACTGACTTCCAATGGGTGTGCTAATAACTTTAGCATTCTGCATGTTGAACCTCTGAAATACCTTCTTAATGTATTCAGCTTGGTTCAATCTCAACGTCCCTTCAGTTTCATCCCTACTGATTCGCATCCTTAGAATATGCTTCGCTGCATCCAGATCCTTCATTAAAAATTCCTTTGCTAGCTGCTTCTTCAAACTGTTTATATCTTCTAAACATAGTCCTGCTATCAACATGTCATCAACATATAATAACAAGATAATGAAGGTGGACTCGAACTTCTTGAAATAACAGCAATGATCCGAATTGCATCTTCTGCAGCTGTTTTTTTGCATGAAGTTATCAAACTTCTTGTACCACTGTCTCGGAGCTTGTTTCAAACCATATAAGCTCTTCTTGAGCTTGCACACCATCTCTTTCTTTCCTTCTTCAATGAAGCCATTCTTGAGCTTGCACACCATCTCTTTCTTTCCTTCTTCAATGAAGCCAACAGGCTGCTTCATATAGATTTCTTCATCCAAGTCACCATGAAGAAAGCTTCATATAGATTTCTTCATCCAAGTCACCATGAAGAAAGGCAGTCTTCACATCTAACTGCTCAAGAAAAAGATCTTCTGCAGCTACCAAACTCAACACCACTCTGATAGTTATGAGCTTCACAACAGGAAAAAATATCTTCGTGTAATCCACTCCTTCCCGCTGTTGAAATCCCTTCACTACTAATCTGGCCTTGAATCTCTTGCTTCCATCACTCTCCTGCTTGACCCGGTAAACTCATTTGTTATGTAAGGTCTTCTTCTGTGCAGGTAGCTAGGCTAACTCCTATGTCTCATTAGTGAGTAGAGAATCAATCTCCTCCTGCATAGCATGTTCCCACTGCTGAGATTCACTCACTTGCATTGCCTCTTCATAGCACTCCGGCTCACCGCTATCTGTCAACAATAGGTAGTCAAGAGATGAAAGATATCTGGGATTTGGTTTGGGTACTTTGGATGACCTCCTAAGCTCCACGTCCTGGGTAGTTGCTTCTGCACCTGGAGACTCCTCCTTTCTATGGTCAGAACAAACATCATCACCACTATCTAGAAGTTCCTCTAAATCCATGTACTCGGATCTACCTATATCCGTAGTGCTGCTCCCACTGCTTTGGCTATCCTTGACATTTTTCCTGTTCTTGTAGATCACATCCTCATTGAGTATCACGTCCCTGCTTCTGATGATCTTCCTGTTCTTCTCATCCCAAAGACGATACCCGAACTCATCAATACCGTATCCAATGAATGTGTACTTCTGTGACTTAGCCTCTAGCTTGTCCCTGACGTGGTCACTGATATGAACATAAGCCACGCAATCAAATACCCGCAAGTGTGAGAGATTTATCTTCTTTCCACTCCAAACCTCCTCTGGAATCCCAAAATCTAATGGAACTAATGGCCCGTGATTAATAAGGTAAGCTGTCGTATGCACCGCATCCGTCCAAAATGTCTTAGGCAGGCCTACATGTAATCGCATGCTCCTGGCACGCTCTGTCAAGGTTTTGTTCATCCTCTCTGCAATGCTGTTCTGCTGCGGCGTCCCTGGAGTAGTCCTCTCTAACCGAATGCGGTTCATAGCACAGAACCTCTTGAACTCCTCCAGCTCATATTCTCCACCATTGTCCGATCTCAGACACTTCACCTTCAGATCTGTCTCGTTCTCCACCATGGCTTTCCACTTCTTGAAGACTCCGAACACCTCTGACTTGTGCTTCATGAAGTAAACCCACACCTTCCTCGTGTGATCGTCGATGAAAGTAACATAATATCTCGAACCGTCAAAAAAAGATACACTAGCTGGACCCCATACATCTGTATGAATCAACTCTAGCTTCTGAACCTTAGGTGACCTTCCACCTTTCTGGAAACTAACTCTCTTCTGCTTCCCAAAGATGCAGTCTTCACAAACCCCAACTTTCACGGAATCGATCCCGGTTAGCTTTCCCTGTGAATGTAAGATCTTCATCCCCTTCTCGCTTATGTGCCCTAGCCTGTTGTGCTACAGATCTGTACTCTCTTTACCAGCTACAACTGCGAGGGTGTCACTCGCATGTAAGGTGAGATAGAGAGTTCCTAGTTTGTTGCCTCGAGCAACAACCATCGTACCGTTGGAGATTCTCCACGAATCCCCTGTGAATGTCGAAACATAGCCTTCTGCTCCAAGCTGTCCCACCGAAATAAGATTCCTCTTCAACTTCGCCTGTGAATGTCGAAACATAGCCTTCTGCTCCAAGCTGTCCCACCGAAATAAGATTCCTCTTCAACTTCGACACGTGTCTCACGTTCTTCAAGGTCCACTTAGAGCTCTTCATCTGAATATGTACTTCACCCTTTTCAATAATATTATAAGGCTCATTATTCCCCAAATATACTTTTCCAAAGTCCCCTGTTACATAGTTCTGAAAGAGCTTCCTGTTATAGTTCTGAAAGAGCTTCCTGTTAGTAGTGGCGTGGAAAGAGGCTCTTGAGTCGATAACCCAAGAATCCGAGTCGCTATCCATAGCAAGGATCAAAGCATCCTACACGATATGAGCCTCCTGTTCACCCGCATCCTTCTTTGGACTCTTGCAGACTGAAGACATATGACCCTCCTGGCCGTAGTTCCAACACTTCCCTTTGATAGGCCTAACCTTCTAGTTTGGCCTCTTCTTCAACTTCGACCGATTCCTGTTCTGGTTCCCTTTCTTCTGGCTTCTGCCTCTTTGTTTGAAATTTAGGGCTGAACCTGAACCTTCTAATTCTGACGATTTCCTTCTAACCTCCTCGGATAGAATCATGCTAACCACCTTACTCGGCTTCAACTTCTCTTTTCCCGCTGAATTTCTGATTGCTGTCACACAACCTGCCTAACTGTCCGGCAACTGCGATAGTAACAATAGGGCCTGTACTTCGTCATCAAACGTGATGTCTACGGAGATAATCTGACCAACAATCATGTTGAACTCGCTGAGATGCATCGTAAAGGACCGTCCTTCTGCCATCTTGAGGTTGAAAAGAGTCTTGACGAGATGCACCTTGTTTGCTGCCGACGGTTACTCGTACATCTTCGCGAGCGCTTCCAAAGCCCCACCGTCGTCTTCTCCTTCAAGATATTGTGGGCTACTGATTTGGCCAGCGACAACCGGATTTGCCTTAGAGCCTTCCTATCCAGTATCTCCCAATCACCATCTGACTCCTCTTTCTTTTGTCCCTTTTCCTTGCCCATCAGCGAGCGATACAAGTCCTTCTGGTATAAATAGTCCTTCATCCGCGACTTCCGGTAGGCGAAGTCTGAGCCGTCAAACTTCTCGATCTTTGATTTGATTTCCTCTGCCATGGCTTTCACAAAAATTGCTGAATGAAGCTCTGATACCAGTTGTTGGGGATTCGAAACAATCAAATCGAACCCTTGCCCTTCCGGACCTTGTGTTGAAAGTAGGAAAGTAGAAAAATTCACCACAAATAAAGATCAAAACTTGTAGAAATAATAAAGGAGACGAACACACAGATTTAACGATGTTCGGCAACGTGCCTACGTCCTCGGGAGCCACACCACACAATTCTTTTATTAATTGAAGAAGAAATACAAGCTCTCAAACTAGGGTTTTATCTCTCTGAGATTCTCTCTCTTTTTCTGTCGTCAAAAGCTCTCTTTTTCGTGTTCTACTAAACCCTAAAACGTTTATATATATATATATATATATATATAACCGCAGACTCACGGTCGACCGTGGATCTGTCTGACAGTTTTTCTTCATCGTTTTGATTCCAGCTTGGCTTCAAACTTTGGGTCTACACTTTAGACTAACAATGGTAACTCCCTTTTTTGTTAGCAAACATATGCCACGACTTGTTTCTCCTCTGCTGTATCATCAATATGCATATTAGATATTGTCTCTCTTATCCAAGTTCTGCTGCTTGGATCTACGTCAGACGCTCTAATGGTGCGTGGTAACTCCCTTTTTTGTTAGCAAACATATGACGGACGACTAGTTTCTCCTCCGTTGTATCATCAATATGCTTTGTGTTAGTAGATATATATGTGTTTATTAGTCCAAGATTTAGATCACTACAGTGATCTAATATGTTTATTAGTCCTATACACACACTCACACTCACACAAACACACACACACATACATACATATGTGTGTGTTTTTGTTAGTCCGACATATCAGATCACTACAGTGATAAACTCTAATTCTAGCTTGACAAATCTCGTGTGTTCAACTAGTGTAAACGAGTCAGATCCAGAATCTTCAACAAATTAACTAAAGCAGCAAAATACGTTCCAACTTAATTTAATTAATAATGCCACCGAAATTGAGTTAATAAAGTCGGGGGGAAAAATCATTTATAAGTATTAAAACATGCAATTAACGGACCTAAGTTGCAGAATGTCCGGCACCTACCATATTTAACTGCTCTCCTCTTTCTCCGACTGTCCTCACAAAAAAGTAACCCCCCCTCGCCTTAACCTGCATCGCCTACGTGGCTTCTCAGACAAAGACACCGGAACAGTAACAATTTAGTTAAAGGGAAGCGAAGGAGCGGCAGACCGCAGGGCGGGCAGCATATAAAGTCCGCGCAAACTTAGGACAAGGTTGGAACCCTCCGCTGTTCTCTCGATCAAATTAGTGTCATAAAAATTCTTCCCCCTTCTTGTTTGGATTTTGAGCCCAAAGTTAATAAAATTGGATGAGGTAAGGTCACCGGCGGTGAGGACAAGAGATGAGCATCGAGAAGAATAATGTGGCCAAGGGCGATGTGGAGGCGGAGATGAGAATCGAGAAGAATAATGTGGCCAAGGGCGATGTGGAGGCGGAGGCGGAGGCGGAGGAGAATAATGTGGCCAAGGCATGGTCGCCGGCGGGGTCCAATATGGATGGGCCCTACAGCTTTCTCTCCTTACTCCTTATGTCCAGGTTTTGAACTAATTCCGTTTCAAATTTATTATGGTTTTTACCGACATATAATGACTCTTACATGTTGTATCGTGTATATGTTTATGATCTGATAGGATTTTATTGTATGATCTATGCGTCTTGCTCCGGTTATGACCCCGCAATAAAATCTCATTTACTAATTCAACCAACAAAAAAATTAAAAAAAATAAAAAAAAATATAGAATTTGGGTTTTACCCATCTCAAAATCAATCTTGTCTGCAGATTTAGCTCGAATACATTCTTCGTAAAATAATGTCGTGCAGCACTGCTAAATTTGAGACTGAAAAGGAACAGAATGACAAAAAGATCTTCACTCTGTCTATTAGAAAAAAAGAATTTGCTCTTTTTTGGAGATACAAATCTAATATGAGTCCATGAGAGAATGTATAGGTATATTAGCATATTCAGATTTGAAAGTTAGATCAGGCTGAGGATTATTAATTCGGACTCAGATTTTTTTCTTGAATTTCAATTTAGAGTGTTATTCATTTCGGATTAGAATTTGAATTTAAATTTATGGTGTTATTAGTTTAGGATCAGAATTTAGATTTGAATGTAAGGTATTATTGGTTTAGGACTAGAATTTGGATTTGAATATGTGTTATTGGAACTAGGATTCGAATTTAAATTAAAGGTGTTACTAGTTGTCTAGGATTATTACTAAGACTAGGATTTCAAAATCCACACTGCAATCCAACTCTACAATTTTTAATGGTAAAATTTTAAGAGAAAGTAAAGGTTAAATTTGGTGGATTGTGATATATGGATTTTCTCTCTCCTCTTCTTTTTACTTATTTAAATGTTTAATATAATTCAAATTAAATATATATAATTTAAAAAATTATATATTTCTAGTTTATTATATATATTAGCATTGAATGTATTTAATTTTAAAATATTTTAATCAGCTCCTATAAATTTGTTTGATTCATTAATAAAGTATATTTAATATTATTTAATTATTTAATATGTTTAATAATTAATATTAAATAATATATGTTTATTATTTAATATTTCTTAAATTCATAAATGTTTAATATTATATCACATACTTTTTGTTTTTATTTAAACATTAGATATGAAATATATTAAATACATTATTATTAAATATATATGATAATTAAAATTTTAATATATTAAGTAATAAAAATGTTTAATATTAAATCATTCAAATAGTTTATGTCAAATGTTTAATAGAATATATATTTAATATTTACTTATTTAAGTATACAAATTAGTTTTTATATGATCGAACACTAGTTATTTTTTATATACTTGAACACTAATTATTTTCATTTATGTGTTTGAACACTAGTTATCTTCTTTTATGTAGCATCATTTAAACTAGGGGTGTCCGAAGCCCGCTAGAGCCGGGCAAAACAAGGCCGGACCCGCCGGCCCGAGGGTACTGGCCGGGCCTGACGGCCGGGCTCCGGACAGCTGGTTCTTTTTGGGTTTTTTAAATTTTTTAATTTTATTTTATCTCTGTAAATTTTCAATAATACGTAACTAAAAATTAAATACAATTTTAATAAAAAAAATCATATTATTATTTATTAATCATTTGAAATTACATAAATTATAAATACAAAAAATTATAAAAATTAAAATGATAAAATAACTTATGTTAGCGCGCACCTACTTATCTATATCACTATCATTTGTAACTATTTTTAAAATAATTTATTACAAATTTTCAGCTAAGAAATAAAAATTACAATTTGATGAATATTGTTTACTCTTTATATCCATCTGCTAGTCCCAACTCTTCAAATTTATCTTCAATACCAGCCATATGATCGATGCCTTGCGTTCTCTTCTCGTACCTCCACCAATATTGTAAGCACATGACCGCCTGTACAGTATACGGATCTAACGATGTCCTGTGGTCGTTGATCAAATATCCTACTTTGCTGAAGGCAGATTCCGAAGCTACCGTGGAAACCTGCACTGTTAGTAAGTCACAAACCATGATTGAAAGTATAGAATATGAAACTGTTCCATATACTTTCCACCATTGTAAAATATCTAAACTATTATTTTGACATTTAACTAAAGATGTAATTAAATATTGATCAATTTCAAAAACATCCGTTGATGATCTAAGTCCAGATTCACCTGTTAGCTCAGCTATCATTATATACATATCAAAACCTATACTTTTGCCCTGACTTGAGCTCATAGAAGTAGAAGTTGTAGACTGATATGTAGCTATATCATATTTAACTGTGTACTCATCATATAATATTTGAAAATAATTTCTAATAGTATTATGATGAGTAGTAGCAGTAATAGTTTGACCATCATCAATGTCTATAATCATATTACCATACAATGAATGTAACAAATTTTGAAGGCTAATATCCTTCAAATACTGATCAATAAGAACCCCAAACCAAAAATAATAGGAATAAGCATAAAATATTTATTAAATTTACTTTCTATTTAAAAAATTATATTTCCAAAATAATTATCCATACGATATTTATTAAAAAAAATTTGAATATTTAAAACTCGTAAAGCAGCTAAAGTAATAGTTGGATAACAACAGCCATATAATAACATTGTAGTATCATAAAAAACTTGTAACATCTCTTTTAAATTATTTATAACTATTCATTCATCTTCAGTTATTCCATACACACTACCAGAGCTAGAACTATAAGTATAAAAAGCAATAAAATTATTTATAATTTCTTTATATTCTATTGCTACACTTAACATTACATATGTGGAATTCCATCTATGGTCAACATCTTTTGGAATTAGTCTGAGTTTTATATTTTTTCTTTTATAGAATAATTTTTACTTTTTAATTCTTTATTCAGAAGCATTATGAGCATAAGCTACTGACCTAATATTTTCTATCATAGATTTAATTTCACAAAATACACTTTGAACAATTAAAATTAAAATATGACAGACACACCTAATATGAAAAAACCACCACGACATGGCAATAGCAGAGATGTTTTGATATAATTAACAGCTATATTATTATTATTTGCATTATCTAGTAAAAAAGAAAATATTCTTTCTGATATTTCTAATTTTGTAAGTTCTTCAATTATTAAATTTGCAAAATTAATACCAGTATGCGATTCTTCAAATGCAATAAAATAAATAACTCTTTTTAAATATTTACCAATTTTCATCAATCCAATGTGTTGTGATACATAAATAACTAGTTTGTGCTTTAGATATCCAAATATCAGAAATTAAAAAAAATTTACAGTTTAAACTTTGAAAATAAGAAATTATTTTTTATTGTTCCTCCTGATAATATTTTAAAACATCACGTTGATAAGTTTGACGAGAAAGTTTTGTAAATGCGGGGTAAAAACCATCTGTAAATAAATCTTCAAATTCATAATCTTCTACTAATTTAAAAGGAAGATTTTTAAGAATGATAAACCTGATGACACATTTTTTGGCTCGGACTACGTCATAATTCCAACTACCAAGACTATCAGAAGATGAGGATTGGGAGAACATAGATTGTCGGATATCACCTTAAGGCATCTGAACTTTGTTATGTTTATCTAAATGATGTTTGAGGTGGTTGGTGCCGCTTTTATGATGAGCTTGGAAAATATGACCGCACAACGCATATTTAGCCTTCTGGGTGAGAAGCCTGCCATGTTCATCTCTGGTGACGTCTATCTTCTCGAAAAAATTCCACACATCGGATCTCGGCCTTTTAGGAGCTCTTAGTGTAGTAGAATCGCCGCCACTGGATTCGGGATCAATATCGGTAGGAGTATGAGGAGTAGTTGTACCTCCTGTAGTAGGATGACTCATTTGGGGAGTTGGGTTTTGCCCTTCATAATCAGATGAGGAAGCTATTTGATTGAAGAATTAGAGAGATAAAACAATTATTAGAGAGTATAAGAGAGTATTAGAGAGAAGCATATGAGTTTTGGATGAGAAAAACAAATGAAATTTTTTTTCTATTTATAGAGGCAGCCCCCTAAATAAATGACCAAAATACTCTCAAATTTTTATCGTTTTTGGGGATATTTTGGTCAAAAGGCCAAAATGGCCGTTTATGGCCATTACAACCGGGTCTGGTTGAAGTGTTTTCAACCTAAACCGCCCGAACCAACCGAGTATTTAAGCAATAAATTCATAATACAATTGATTTGCTACCCATATACCCATTAAGTTTGAACCCGTTTAGATAGAATCCCTATCGATTCTGATGTTTCATCTCCCTTCCTCTTTCCTCTCACTCTTCAGCAACTGAAAGAGTTGGGCCATTGACGACATCTCGTCCAACTCCAAAACGTCTCATTTAGCAAATCACTCTCTACTTGTGCTGGTTTCCATCACCATAGCCAAACCATCCTCTCAAGACCCATCTTCTACCTTGAAATAGACCCCCAGTTGAAGATGATGTTAAAACCCTAATTTTGATTTTCTCTAGGCTAGAAGAAATAATCGATTTTAAACTTGTTTTTGTGTTTGATTTGATACTATCAAATACTCTCAGTTTGATTTTGTGCAGTTGCTGATAGATTTTTCTGGGCATTATCAAGAACATGATTTACTAATTTTTTTGTCTTGTCAAACATGTTTCTGGTCATTCGTAAATGATATTCTAATTATCTAATTTATTTGATTATTTTCATGCCTCATACAAGCTATCGTCTAGAGCATTTGATTATTGTCAAGCTTCATATATAGCTAATTTCATAAGCTATGAAACTAAATACTCAATCTTCCTTTTTAATATTATGCATTCACATTACTCTTTCAGCTTATTGAAACAGGGTTCAGTTCCAATTTTCATAGCAAAAATTGAAAGAAGGTATTTGCTCTTGATTATTAACAGAGCAAAATAAAAGTTGTATGGTAAATAATTAAGCATGGATAATTTTTTAAGGGAAAAATGCTTCCAGCCCCCAAAAGCCAAAAAAACATGCTCCCCAAAGACTTTGTCAACGAGTGCTTTACCCCCAAAAATAAAGATTTTGTT